CATCTTTTACATATTGACATCTGTTTCCCTATTTTCAGTGTTTTAGCTTTGATTTACTTTTGTGACTGCCCTATCTACGTTGATATCTGGTTGTTCTGCCCATGTTCTAGTCTTGGGTTGTTATCTGATGTTGCTGATTTTGTAACCGGAGGACTCCATTTATTATTTCTTGTAATTTTGGTTTGGTTTTTGCAAATTCCCTAAACTTCTGTTTATCTGGGAATGCCCTAATTTCACCATCATATTTGAGAAGCAGTTTTGCTGGATATATAATTCTTGGCTGGCAGTTTTTCTCCTTGAAAGCTTTATATAGGTCATCCCATTGCCTTCTTGCCTGCATGGTTTCTGCTGAGTAGTCCGAGTTTATTCTTACTGACTCTCCTTTGTAGATGACTTTTCGTTTATCCCTAGCTGCTCTTGAAATTCTCTTTTTAGCTTTGGTTTTGGCAAGTTTGATTATAATATGTCTTAGTGACTTTCTTTTGGGATCTACCTTATGTGGGGTTCAATGAGCATCTTTTATAGATATCTTGTCATATTTCATGATATCAAGGATGTTTTCTGGCAACAAATCTTCAACAATTCTCTCTGTATTTTCTGTTATCCCCCCGTGTTTTGGTACTCCAATCACTTGTAGGTTATTCCTCTTGATACAGTCCCACATAATTCTTAGGGTTTCTTCATTTTTTTAAATCCTTTTATCCAATTTTTCCTCAAGTAAGTTCGTGTCAAGTGCTTTATCTTCAATCTCACTAATTCTGACTTCCATTGCCTCAATTCTTCTCCTATGACTTTCTATTGAGTTGTCTAATTCCAACATTTTATTGTTAATCTTCTGGATTTCTGATTGCTGTCTCTCTATAGATTCTTGCAGTCTGTTAAATTTGTTATTATGCTCTTCTCTAATCTTTTTAATTTCCTCTGTTGCATGTTCTGCTTTTTGCTTAATTTCCTTTGTAATTTCTTGAAGAGTTCTGTATATTAATCTTTTGTATTCTGCCTCCAGTAATTCCAAGAAATTTTCCTCCTCTGGAAAATTTCTAGATTCTTTATTTTGGGAGCTTGCTAAAGCCATCATAGATTGCCTCTTTATGTGATTTGATATTGATGGTTGTCTCTAAGCCGTCAATAAGTTTTTTATATTTATTTATTTCATGTTTGCTTACTGTGTCCTAGCTTCTTGTTTTGTTTTGATATGCCCAAATAGGCTGCTTGTATGAGCTAGTTTGATTATTGGCAACTTTGAAGCTCTAATGTCCTGTCACCAGGTGGTTAGATCTGTTACTAGGTATGTGAGCTCAGGAGTCCACTCAGTCCTCCTGTATGGATTCAGCTCAGGTGCCCAGGTAGAGAGCCACCAAGTGTGTGGTATAGGCTCTCACTTACAGTCCTAGACAGGCATGGGTGATTGGTGTAGGCACAGGCATCTGGCTGCAGCAGGGGGACACACTCTGAGCAAGGCAGGGGGCTGACGGCCGCCCCCGAGTGTCCAGGAGGAAGGTGTGTCCCTGTTCCCTAGAGTGCGTAGGTGGGTGGGTTTTGCAGCCAGACTATGAGCACCTAATGCAGTTGGCTGTAAGGACTGGGGGGCACCTCTTATTCATGGGCCCCTATTGCAGGTGGCTAGGTGGCATGGGTGGAGCCACCAGTCCTCAGGCCCCTGATGTGGGTAAGGTGAAGACCCTGCTTAATGGGCAGAGCAGGGTCAAATATCAAGAACCTACCACTTCACAGCTGAAACAATTGAAGTTAGATTTCCAGTATATACTCTGTTGTACTGCTGTAATGAGGGCCTATGCTGTTGATAAGGGCCCACACAAGTCTATGCAGGGGAAAAGGCACTCAAAGGCCATGGATCCCTTATGCCTGTGCCTAGGCAAAGGAGCTGTGCCTACCTTGGGTTTCTGGCTTAGGGGAGTTGGCAGTTTATTTTTTCCCCTGTTTGTTAATTTGTTCACTCTCCAAGGCAGGGAGAATAGCTCCAGGCATGTGACGGATCCTACTTCCAGCCCAGCGGACTCAGCAGTTGCTGAAGCCAGTCCAGGACCCAGTGCAGAGCAGGGAGTGGGGGGTAAATGGGAAAGAGATTTTTCCCTAAGGGGGGTGTTTTTGATCTGCGGGGTAAGCCATATGCAAGTACTTATCTTTCGCCACTCCAGGGCTGCTTTTTACTGGTTCTGGGTGGCTGTGTAGACGCTCTGGCAGTGGGTCTCTCCTGGTGCTCAAAACACACCTCCCGAGGACTGCTGCTTGCCAGCCTCACCACTCAACCCCGAGATAATCAGGCCTGAAGGGCTCAGGTTCTCGCTGGGTCAGGACTGGCAACTCCTCCCTGCTTCTGAACTGTCTCTACCTCGCCCTGCCACTCAATCTGGTTTCTCAACTCTGCCTTTGATGTTCAGGGCTCCCAGATTGCCATATATAATTGATTCACTTGTTTTTTCAGGTCTTGGTTGTAAGAGGGTCCACTGGAAGTGTCTGACTACTACGCCATCTGGGCCCCACCTATTGAAGTTTTTTAAAAACAAATATACATCAGATTTAGTATGTATTTTTGTTGAATGTTGCATTGTAGGTTCTAGTCCATCTTTTAGTATGATTGAGATAATTTTATTCTTCTTAGAACTAGGACAGTCAGAAATCTGCTTCTACCTTCAGCCATGGCCCAAACATCACCCTCCGTTGAACTGCATTAATTGGGGTTTTCCATATTATTCTCTCCCCAAGGCCTGTTGGGCATTGTGATGGTTAAGGTTGTGTGTCAGCTTGGCTGGGCCATGATTCTCAGTGGTTTGGCAGTTATAATGTAATTTGGCAGTTATGTAATGATGCAATCTCCTTCATGGTGAGATCTGATACGATGTAATCACCTCCATGATGAAATCTCCTATGAGCAGCCAAATAGTTGACAGGGAGTTTCCTTGAGGGTGTGGCCTGCATCTAGTGTATATGGACCCCTGGCAAAGCTTGATGGCTTTTTCTCTGCTCTGTGTCCTGCATTTGGCTTATCATCATCTGACCTCAGGTTTTGGGGATTTAAGCCAGCAGCCTGCGATCTAACCTGCTGATCTTGGGTTCATCAGCCCCTACAGCTACATGAGTCAGGAGAAGCCTCCAGCCTAACACCTGACCCACGGACTTGGGACTTTCCAGCCTCTACAACCATGTGAACCATTTCCTTGATATCTCTCTTTCTCTCTCTGTATATATACATATAATATATATATACACCCTTCACTGGCTTTTTTTCTCTAGAGAACTTGGCCTAAGACAGGCCCCAAACTGTGATTTAGGCACTAGCCTAAGGAGCTTCCTCTGCTAGCTTTATATTCCCACTATTAGACTCAATAGTCAATAATGTGTTGAACAGCAGCAGTGTTCGTATCTCTAAGAAACCATGATTAAATGATTTGCTGGTGTTTACAAGCCAGTAAATGACAAAACTTGGACAGCTGCGTTTATCTCAAATAATGTCTGTATGCATCTATGTGCCTGACTTGCTTAGTGCTGAGTATCATAAAGTGAATATGAAAGTGTTCCTTGTTTGTTTGTTTGTTTTAATGGTATAGAACTGTGGCTTTCAGACCTTTTTGATTATGACCTACAGTAACAAATACAGTTTATGTAATGACCTTGTGAGTGTATACATATTGAGTGAAACAAAATTTCAGAAAACAATGCTTAGCTTTCTATATGCAATGCTCTTTGATATTTGTCAATTCTATTTATTTAATTTAAAACATCAGGTCATAATACAATAAATTGATATTATAAGCCAATAATAGATCTTAGTCAACACTTTGATAAAAAGGGAGGAAATCATTAAAAACAAATAATGTCAGATAAAAAGGAAAATTATGAGAATGATTTTTATTTCCAAATTCAGAGATTTTCTTACAGATTATGTAATGCTGCTTATTTTTAGCTTGTAATCATGCCTACTCCATAGGCATTTGCATTTACATATCGGTAATTTATCAGCACCTTGGGCCCTGGCAGGGTGAGACAAAATTTAGGTAAATTTTGGTGGAAATAATCGTTGGGTGATTGTTAACTGCTGTCAAGTCAGTCCCTGGCTCATGGGGACCCCATGCACAACACTGCTCGGTTCTGTGCCATCCCCATGATCATGTGAAATCCGACCGTTGTGTTCCAGGTTGAAGGGGAAGAGAAGACAAACCTACCGATGACCGCGGGTCGGGGTTTGGGGGTGGTCAAAGTGCTAACCTAACCCAGAGCTGGGCGCCACCTTGTTCCAGTCATTGAAGTAAAGAATAATCAGAAGACCGCCAACAGAATTAGGAGAGTTTGGGGGCAATATCTAGTGGATAGAATCGTGTATGGCATTTTGTCTCTTTCATCACTCAGTTAAGGGTTTACTTCCTCCAAAAAATCTCCTCTGGTGCCCCTGGAGGCTCACAACATCCTGGGCCTGCCTCTATCACTCACTTACTTACATTGTATTGACATGATAGGTTCTGAGATCTTGAGAGCAGCAGTGCCACTTTCTTTTTTGAATCTGAGCATCTAGCTGAGTGTCTGGCATGTGGCAGGCACTCATGTGATGTTCACTGGACCTCTCTAAATCTCTCTCTCCTCCACTGTGAAACAAAGTTGAACTAAACGACCTCTCAGGACTGTTGCAGCCCTAACAACCTATGACTTCGACAGATCTGAGGCAGCCCAAAGCACTCTGCTTCATAGCAAAGCCCACATCTTCCCTGTGGCTGGCCAGAGATGACGAGTGAAACAGGAATGACCTGTGTGTAGCTTAGGGCCTAATCCTGGCCTGGCAAAATACGCAAAGGAGTGTGCTTGATAAGAGCAGTGGGAAGCCTAATGCAGAGCCTGCAGCAGAGAAAGAATTCCAGCCTCCACCACAGACAGGACTGTTGCTGCCTGCTCGCCTGTAATTTCCTCTAAGGCTCTTGATTGGTCCAAAGAGTAACAGAGGGCTGGGAAAGAGCCACTATATATTCCTCAGATGGAAAGGCTGTCCCAGACAGTTTTGGAGTTTGAAAAGACTCACCCTGCTGTTAAGAATCTGTGCTCAAAGCTGAGGAGCGAAGCCGCTTGCCAAAATGTGTAAAGGACTTGCAGCTTTACCCCATTCATGCCTGGAAAGGTGAGAAACCAAGTTGTTTTGGCTTAAGAGTTGGAGATACAGAGAATCTTTACTCAGAAGAGGGTACCAACAGGGGCCGCTGTAGTTCGTAGCTAAACTGAGGTGAAAAGGTGCTTGATTCTAGACTAGGAGTTGTCTCTTCTTTGTTAACAATTCAGAGATGGACTTTAGCAGTGATTTTGAAAGACCCAAACTAGAAGCCCGTTACAAATGGGATATCTCATGCATCATTTAGTATCCAGAACATTATTTTTTCAGAGGAGGTGCTTATTCTATACGTGCTTATTATGAGTAAAATATGCATAGTAAAGAGTGTGGAATCTAATGTCAAACTGCCTGGGTATGATTTCTGGCTCCTACTTATTATCTGTGTGGCATTGGGCTATTTATTGAATCTCTCTGTTTCTCAGTTTCCTCATCTGTAAAATGGAGATAGTATGAGTATCTACCTCATAGGCTAGTTATGAAGATCGAATGAATTAATGCATATGAAGCACTCAGAACAGTGTCTGGCACATGGTAGAACTATATTAATGTTAACTTTTATTAATGTACATAGACTGGGAGAGGAAGGTGCAATGAGGCAGAAGGGATTTGTCATGGTTCTTTGTATCCTGACCCCATTAGACTGAAGTAGCAGGATTGCTGAACAAAAAAAAAAAAGAGGTTATTAGCTAGCATTCTTTCTTAAAAAGGAGCCCTGATGGCACAGTGGTTAAGCACTAGGCTGCTAACCAAAAGGCCTGTAGTTTGAACCTACCAGCTGCTCCGTGGGGGAAAGATACGGCAGTCTGCTTCCATAAAGATTTACAGCCTTGGAAACTCTATGGGGCAGTGCTACTTTGTCCTGTAGTGTTGCTTTGAGACGCATCGACAGCAGTGGGTTTGGTTTTTCTTGTTTTTGTTTTGTTTTCTTCTTTCTTAGGAGCTATACCTCTCAGGCTCCCTGGTTGTCCTTAGGCTGGACAGTATTCTGGAGGGAATCGAGATATTTAGGTTTTAAGTAAATAGAAAAAGAGCAAATATTGACTTGTTAGAAAATTTAACCCAACAATCCTACCTGATACAGAGAAGTAGGGATATTTCTTAAGAATGGATTTGATTAAATTTGGTTCGACCTTTCATTATGTAAAGGAAAAAAAGAAGGTAGCCTTTGTGAAGCCTAACTCCATGCCTTAAGGCACCTGTAATGTTATCTTAGAGGATCCTATGACTTCTCCAGTCTCTTACCAGCTCAGGTCTCCTTTTTGATGACTTCTACCCTACAGATAAACTCAAAATAATTTTTAAAGAGATAACATTGTAGCATAGGAGTTTTTGTTTCCAGCAATACTATCTAGTAGCTGAAGATAAAGTCTGCGCTCATTCCTTGCCGTCAAAAGCATAGATTATTTAAAGACTATCATACAAGAAACTAGTAACAGTGAAGCTGGTATTTTGGTTGTACTAGTGAGCAATCCTGAGGAGCCCTGGTGGCACAGTGGTTAAGAGCTCTGCTGCTAACCAAAAGGTCGGCAGTTCAAATCCACTAGCTGCTTCTTAGAAAACCAATGTGCCAGTTCTACTATGTTGTATATGGTTGCTATGAGTTGGGATCGACTCGATGGCAACGGGTTAGTGAGCATTCCATATGGCCCATTGGACCAACCTTGAGAAGGAGAAAATATTTTAATGCTGGATACTGTGTATTGCTGTCAGCCTATCCTTCCCTCTTACCTGCTTTGTAGAAAGTCTGAGAAACAGGGAGGTGAAAGGCACCCAAAGTTCTCTGAATATAAGGTGAGGCATAATTATTTCCTTTTCCTTTTTGCAATGATGAGAATTGCCACTTGAGTTTCTCATCAACTTTAAAGGATGCCTATTGTCCACCTGTTCTGAAAAATTGGGTACTCTCATGCAGTGGATGTATCTTACCTTATTAACTGGTGAACAATTGACTCTAAAATGATTGTAACATCGTCTGATAGGCATCTTGTGATCCTATGACACACCGCCTGGTTTTTAGTGAGTAATCAATAAATATTTGTTGAAAGTTGAGTATTGTTAATAATTTTGCCCTTTATGCTCTTATAAATATGCATACTGTTCACCTAGACACATGGATGGAACATTTCTTTTATTCATTCCTTTCCTGTTTTGGAGCCCTGGTGGAGCAGTGGTTTAGAGCTTAGCTGCTAACCAAAAGGTCGGTGGTTCGAATCCACCCGTCACTCCTTGGAAGCCCTATAGTGCAGTTCTACTACATCCTATAGGGTTGCTATGAATCAGAATCAACTCGATAGCAATGGGTTTGGTTTGAGGTGTTCCTGTTTTGCGTCTGATTAACTACCAACATTAATATTGAAACACATTATGTATCTTCTAATTCACAATAGATCCATGTGGAGTGTTAAAGAGGGGACAAGGAGCAAGCCCTTTTGAGTAGATTGCTGGCATCCTTTAATGTTCTGGAATGTGGCAGTTTCCTGAAATTTCATGCATTATTCTATTACATATTTTTTTTCACGATATGTTACCATTGCAAATAGAGTCATATTTCCAATTACAATGCTCCCCATGAGGAGCGCTTTGGAGAAATGGGATTGTGAGCTGTGGAGATATTAGCACACACTCTCGGAGAAGATAAAGGAACAAGGATGAAAAGTTGTCTATTCCAAGGGAAATGATACTTGAGTAAATGCTTCCAAACCTGCCTTCCCTTCCTGGACACTCTGACTATCCACCTCCCTTACTGTCACAGGCTCCTCGCCTCTTCGTGACTTCTGTCCAGATTAATAAAGGAACACGGGTATGCCTTGATGCCTAGATACACAGATATTTAAAAATTCACTCTAAAATAAATTCGGCCAACAAATCTGCGTTACCAAAGGAGTCTGTTTTAATGAAAAGCTCTGCTAAAGAGTTAAACTGTAATTTCCCTATTGCATTGGAAATAGAATTCAATTTACAGAAGTATGATTAACTTGCTCTCATTTATCATAGTGGTCAAGGAGTAAGCAGCACGTTGATTTTTGTTATTATTTAAATTTGTGACACTAAACAGCTTACTTCATTTCCCTAGAACTCCATGTCTTTATTTAATAAATGACAGTTGGATTAGATGTTCTCTAACATCCTTTCCAGTTCTATAAAGCTTAGATAAAGTGAGATGAACTTGGTTTCAGTGACTAGAGAGATGATGTAATTAAAGGGAACTTTTGCCTAACTTATTTTTCTCTAAAGCTTTGGGTACAGAGAAGAGTCAAACAATAAGAAACCGCCAAGGACCCAAATTTGTGCTGAAAACACTAGGTTGGGTCAAAAGCGAACCTACTCATTGATGCTAATACTGGTTTCCCAAAAATATAATTTACCTCATGTAAGGAGAATTTTAATCCTAGAAAATGTCTCTTTCTTAATATTTCAGGAAGTATTAAGCCACCAACAACTTTGATATATTTGTAGAAAGCTATTGCTCATTTACTTATTTAGATTTTTGAGACTATTGCTCATTAAACCTCAAAGTAGAACTCATAATATTTTTATATATTTAATGAGACAAATAATCCAAACATTTGCGCAATGGGTGGGTGCCACCACACAATGTCTATCTTCTGGCATATTCAGAGCTGTGCTGTATGAGTGTGCTTTATGGGTGGGAATATTCTAGTCAGTGGAAAAGGAAAGAGTTGAGTCAATTGAAGGTCTTATTTTACCAGTGATTTTCAGCTTTGAATTTTGGACTTCTTTTGAAAATTCGTGTTATTTTCAGCCTTTTGATTTTCTCCAAACAAGTTTAATTTTTAGAGTAAATATTGTATTTTAGAAAAAATGGAAGTATTCTGAAATGAAAATGGGTTATTATTGATTCCCAAAAAGTTCTCATAACAATATAAAGGAACCAATATGATTATTATTATTTTTGTTCCCAAACTCACAGTCTTTCCTTAACTTCCATGGGAAGTAAAGATATATCTAAGACTAAGCTTCTGGCAAAGATGGAACTTTCCCTGGTATATCAATGAGGTATCACTGACTTTTACCTCTGAAGGGGTCTGGCATAGATCTGATTTCTATTTTATATTATAAAAGCAGCTAGTGATCCTAAGTGGAACAAATGGTTTGAGCTCCTAAAGGTTGGCAATTTGAACTGAACCAGTGGCACCACAGAAGGAAGGCCTGGGGATCTGCATCCGTAAAGACTACGGCCAAGAAAACCCTATGAAGCAGTTCTGCTCTGTAACATGTGGGGTGACCATGAGTAGGAATTGACTGGAGAGCAACGGGTTTGGTTTGGTTTAGTAACATAATGTATTTAATCCACAGTTCACCGAGTTGGTCCTGGCCACCCAAGTGTATAAAAAATGCTAGGAATTTCAGAAACTGTAGAAAGCAAATGTGGAAGGTGACCTTTCCTCTTTTATGATTATTATTTTACTAAACATTCCATTTTCTCCCATCTGCTCTGATTTATATGGGTCTAAGGATGGACAAGATGGAGTAGAAAGGCATCTAATAAGCAGGGCCACAAATCAAATGATCTTCTTTTAAAGTTGTTAAGCCACATACAAGCACCAGAGTGGGTCAAGGCTGCTGGGTCTGCAGGGGTAAGTAAATAGCATTTTCCAAAGACATGAGCACAGCCTTGGACCAATTATAAAGAAACTATAAATATCAAGTGAAATGAAGGACTATGACGATTAACTTGAACAAATGTTAGCACAGTCAGAATAGTTGTAGGATCTTCAGAGAAGCCTAAAGAGATAGTTGCAGACCCCCTCCCGAAGTTCAGGTTCATGCTGGCTGGGAATACCCTAAGTGTAAATCTGAAACTTCGCTATGGCTGATGGTCAATCGATACAATCGAAATATTGCGGGGAAACTTTGTAATGTCAAGGAATTGAGTGAACTGTTTATTATAATGGGGGAGAATCAGAAAGAAAAAGCTATGCTTTGATTTTTATTGATGAAACAATATTGATTATTTCTCTGCATTGCCCTTCAAACTTCTGTACTTGCCC